TTAAAAAAAACTTTTTTTTCTTTTTCTAAATTATGTGGTATATCTAAATGTTTTAATTTATTGTTGTATTATTATGCATGTTGTTATAATTGCATAAATTGCCATGTTTAAATTAGATAAGCCTATAGGGTTACGCGATAGTATTCTGCATGTTATTTTTATTACCGTCTTATTATTATTATGCATGTTTTTAATTAAAATACAATTGCATGAGTTGTTGTGTTTTGAATGTCATCTGACTTAGTCAGGGCTAGAACCTTAGGCTGCATATCTATTTTGATTGCTAATTATTTATGATTATGCACTCGCTTGATCACCTCATATGTTAGGAGAAAAGTCCTAAAATCAATCCAAATTGCCTGACAAATGTTTTAAAAAATGAACAAGGTAAAAAGGTACCGAAAGGGCATTAGTTATCCAACTAGTGTAACCAAGTCCCCGAACTCAGTTAATCTCTGGTCCTTAGGAATAGAGTGATTCTCCCATGATCTTATTTGGGTTTCTAATCGACCCACCCCAAATTGCTTAGTGGCGACTCCTCAATATAAATCACTTGCATGTTAAAAACTTAAACCCTAAGTCGCGATATGGTATGGGCTTGGGAGAGCCCGAGTTAAGTCCCGAACCTAGACTTAGCCCGTACCAAGCGAAACCCCCTTTTTTGCACATGTCGTTATAAAAAGGCGGGAGGTCGGTCGCGACATAAAAATATTCCCATCTTCTCTGATTATCTTATTTAGTCCATTTGTTTTTTGGAAAATGAATGATTCGGAAATATTTTCCTAAAAACGATCATTAGTATTGCTTACAAAAATGAAAAAAGATAAGAAGCAAAAACATCGGAAAAAATAACTTTTTATTTTGTATGAATAAAGTTATCATAATTACAACAAAAAAAAGGAGTTATCATAATGAAGGAATTCGCTTAAATTAAACTCCTCGATTGTTTCCTTTTCATTTCTCGTGACTTCATGGAAGACTGTGATAAGCAAGCCCATGGCGGTTAATCCTAAAACTCAATCCTAAGAGTGGAACATAAGGTTTTCATTAATATATCATATATAAATTTAAGGAATTCTTTTTTTTTCTCTAGGGAGACGGAGATCACCACTGATTTTCTAAGTCATTGATTGCTTGTAATAGCTTTACTCACGACATGACTCGAATTTATGGCTTATGCAAAATAAGGTGACGCACCTTCTATTTCTTTTCTCTCAGTGAACAATTGTTCCTTTTTTTCTTGTGTAGCGAGTTTATTAGCTTTCGAGCTAGCTTCTGCGCATTTCAATCGGTCCCCCACTCCTGGCAATCCTAAGAGTGCGGTCCCCCATGTCAGCTCGATATATTCCAGATTTTAATTCTCAAATTTTACGAAAAAGAGTCGAGCTGTTAAATGATAACTTTTCATAATGGTTCGCGCTTTTTATTAAATACCATGTCAATGGTGGACCATGTGCACAAAATTGGAGTTAATCGAGCAGGTCACGTGCAAGCACAAAGGGAGGCAATCCAACATCAGAAAGTTGATATTCAACACGTCAAAAGAGTCCTCCACGAATTCAAAGTAGATCCCCCACCATTTTCTTTATATTGCCTTGACGATTGTCCAACTTCTCCACGACTAAAAACTCCTTTTCTTTTTGCCATTTGGAGATGTAATTATGCATGAATGAATTGTGCATGCGGGGCCCTACTCTAAGCAATTCCTACTCGAGGCTTTTTGGCTAAGCATTTGGAATCCAATTTAGGGAGATCTCTTTCTTATGTAGGAATCAACTTCCTTCCTTGATTATATTAAAATAAATGCTAAGAAATGTGTCAACAATATATTAATAGCATATCGGCTTGATACTCCCTCTTGCGTGTAAATCGATCCTTTAGTTATAGCATACATGACTCAGAACGCTCTGTCGTAGGTAACTAATCTCTTCGCACGTGCAAGATAGGATATGGATGTGATTGCACCAGCGAGATAATCGGGACAAGAGAACACGAAGAATAACGTGAAATGAAAATTTAGAGGGGTACTAGGAATTGAATCTTTACATTGCTTGAATACCATGTAAGACAAATTGTTTTCCTTAAAAGGTTAAACTGTTAGTAAAAAGACCAACGGTGATTTATAGCATATGACCTCAATACTCCCTCTCTCGTGACGAATTGTGGAAATTGGTCCTTTTAATCTTAGGTTTATGTATGGAGATACAGATCGCAAATCTCCAAACCTAATGATACAAATTGATATGGTTGTGTAAAAGCGATAACCCGTTTTAGATATTTCCATAGCATCTTAGTAATAAATTTAACATTCCTACCGTTAGTAAAAAAAATTTGTTAACGAGTGCATCGATGGTACTTGCAAAACAAAAACCCATTTAATGAAAGATTGCAATTTGCAATACTTTGCGTCTCTCGACTTATGTGTAATCAATTCATCGAGAAAATAAAAATATTTTATTATCAATTATATTTAACGAATGCTCTGGACACCCGTTAACGGACCCCGATTATTAAGGGCCTATTTGGTAATCGGCAAAATAGTGCTTGATTCTATTCTTTCGTTCTCGGAAACAAAAAAAGAACATAAATCTATTTTGTAAATTTTTTGTTCCCGGGTGCAAATTTGTTCCCAGAATCATTTTTGGAGCAGAATAAAAAAAAAAATTCATTTTTGATTATGGAAACAAGAATTAGAAGTGGAAAATATTTTTTTTTTCTTCTTCTTTCTTGGCCGGTGGCCGCCGAGGATCCCCCTCGCTGAGCCCTTGCCCAGGCCATGAGGATGGTCCTCGCCCAAACCACGAGCCGCCCGCACTGGATCTGGCGACGGCGGCGGCAAGGGGCTAGCCCTTGCCAAATCCGACGAGGGCGCTCGCCCTTGCCAACGCTGGCCTGTGGCTGGTTGCCGACATTGGTGACTTGGCCATGGGCCAAGGAAGTAAAAGAAGAAAAAAAGAAAAAAAACGAAATAAATTTTAAAAAATTCAAAATATTAATAATAAAAAGAAATTTTGTGCAGTTACCAAACGCATTTATATTCTTTTTCTATTCCAGAAATAAAAATATTGGGCAGTTACTAAACGCCCTCAAATTCTTAAAAATTATTTTCGGGAATGGATTTTCATACAAAAATTATTTTCAGGAACAGAATGATTAACAAACGTACCTAACTGTCATAATCAAACACTTATCCTCAACAATATCCTCCTCAATGCGAAATCCAGAAATCATTTCGTAACACATTTGATAAATCACAATATGGTTCCAAAACCATTTCATAATCTATGTCATAATCACAATACGTTTCCCAAACCATTTCATAAACATAATTCACAAATCGATATATATAACCTTTAATAACATCTTTCATAAAACGTTTCTCAAATATTAAAAAGTAGTAATTGCTCAATCCAGGTTTTTATTCAACAAACATGCTTTAATAACTCGTACGATACTCAAATCCTTATCACTTTCAAAACTTGAGTTTATAGACTCAAAGAAGATATATCATTACTCACCTGGGAACGCCTACGATCAAACGACAAAGATTACTCGATCCGTCGAACTTGCAATCTTAACAAATAAGCGAGAAACAACGTTAAAATCGAGTAAAACGATACCTCAACTACGACTCGGCTAAACTAGGCTTAGACGTTAACATAACGACTAAAAGGTGCCCACAAATTGCTTACCCAAGCGATTACTCAAAGCCGTCCACAACGCAGAGCTTGAATGCAAAACTCGAACGCAAAACTCGATTGCATTATAACTTTCTCCACCAAACTCCATTCCAAGCGATCATATAGTCAAAAGAAAGCCTATTCAAAGAACTATAAGAACCCAGTTGGGCCGCCCCAAAATCGAGCCGAAAACCAACGAAAATCGGCCTAAAAGCAGCTGGTCGCGCACTGTTCACCACGTGCGCGCAACTTCAAAACTTCGTATCCGGCAAACACTAAGTCCAAATTGAGTTCCGTAAAATTCCACGGCACCACAACACTCTATGCCACCATTTATATATATATATAGAGAGAGAGAGAGAGAGAGAGAGAGAGAGAGAGAGAGAGAGAGAGAGAGAGAGAGAGCTCAATGACTCAAAAATCGGACTTCGCCGTTCGAATATCACATAACTCCAAAATATGAGCCCTAACCCGGAAAACTTTCCGATTGGACGAACGAGAGGTGCGAGCACTTACTGGACATTGCGAATCGAAATTGAATCGGCTTGATAAAACAACCGTGACGAGCACGTGCGAAAACTCCCTTCTTTCTAAATCCCTTTCTTCCTCTTCTTTCCTCTTTCATTTTCCCTTTATTTCTTTCCCTTTTCTCTCTTCTTCTTTTCTTTCCCGTGGGTGTCTCGGCCTTCTGTCTTTAAAAGCTGAAGGCGACCACTTTTGCTTCTCATTTTTCCTTTTCTTTTTCCTTTTGTGGGTCCCACTATTTTCTTTTTGACTTGGTCAAAAACCTCAAATATTATTACATGGACACCGTCGGATCACTAAGGCCGACTTTCTTCTCTGCTCGACGAGTGGATCTTGCAATCAAGCTTCCTTTTGCAGGAGTCTAAGAAAAATGGAATACTAAGTCGATCAAACCCAACTTAACTCTTACCACATAAATATTTCATTAAAAAATGACTGAGTTATTTTTGTTATCTCTACATTATTTAGGGATAATTTACATTTTCAAAATCTCATAGTCAATTATTCATAATTAACTAGATCATCGATAGAAGTAGTATCCAAATATCCGCCCCTATATCACCACAGTTTCTCTAAGTCAATAAGTGTTTGTAGCAATTTTGCTCATGACATGACTCGAATAGCATGACAAAATCGTTAATCTTTTCTGCATCTTTTGTTTCTTCTCTCTCAATGAAAGATTGCTTCTTCTTCTTTTCCTTTTTTGGGGTAGAGAATTTGGTAGTTTTCGGGCCAGCTTTCGCGCATTTCAATTGGTCCACCTCTTAAACGATCTTAAGAGTGCACTCCCCCACGTCGGCTTAATACAATCCAGATTTTACTCTTGAAATGTTCCGAAGAAGGGTTGAACCGATCAATGATAACTTTTCATAATGGTCCTCCATTTTTATTAACACCCCCTAGTAAATATTTGTTCTGTAACATCTTACGTGAAGTATAAATCATCTGTAACATTTACAGTATCCTCGTTCACCTCATCTCCATCGACCGATGCGCTAACGACTGCTTTCTCGGTAAGTCATCTGTGTAGGACGAAGCTCAATCCCCTGGATGACTAGACCGGATTTCCAGTTACCACTTTTCACCTCCATCAAGTTTATTTGAAGCTCCCCAGTTGGAGGATCGCTCACGAAAAACTCGCCCAGATCAACCTCCTTCCACCCATCTCCTCTGTCCCGAGGAATTTGTTTCTCCCTAGCCTGAACAAGTCCTGCCGCGGATGCTTCACGGAAAACATGTGAATATCTCTCTCGTGCAGTTTGACATTGCTGTCTCAACCTCCCATCAGGATCCAAAAAAATATTGCTCCGTTCACCCATGGAACCAGAAAAGATGGACACTTCCACTGGTCGATTCTCGAAGCCATAGTTCTCATGCACAAACTTGAAGATAAAGTAAGCTGCATAGTATGTGTCAGCAGACAGAAGTCGCGTCTCCATCTTGGCGTGAACCTCGAGCCAGCATACTCTAAGGAGCTCTGCCACCTCTGGGAATCTTTCAAATAGAAGAACAGATTTCAGTAACCACACGATAGATGCCAAACATAAGAAGACAGATGACAGTATCCACAGAAAAAATGGAAAATGTAACAGCAGTCTGGAGATTGGATGGACCTTGAGACGTGGAGTGAACTCCATCTCCAGGAGCGAGGAGCGTCACCCCATACTATAGACAGATCTCTGGAGCCAATCATATAACACTTCTTCCCGCTCCATTTTTCAAGTGCAAAACTCTGCGCAAGACATGGAAAGATCATTCTATGTGAAATATTTTGAAAATTAAGATGACGCTGTCTCTCCTTAAGAACATGATAATAGTGAAGGATAATCGTGGGGAGCAGATTACAAGTAGCTAAATATATCATTCGGTCATTGGATATGCTGAACAAACAGCGTATTGGACATGTATGATACTCCTCGAGACATGATTCCCAAAACGATTAAAATAAGATTGTTCTACTTAAATTAAGTACTTAGGATGTCAATCATCTCCACTTTAACGAAAACGAAAAAACAAACTAGAGTAACTTCTTCTGCCATTGCTTCAAAGAGACCATTGCAACCAGGTTGTGCTCCGTGAACTTCTCCCAGTAATAGAATAGCACAAAACATAGCAGAACCATCACGCTATGAACTTTTCAATTGAATGCACTTCACTCTTTGATAAGTCAACCGTCCAACATTAACCAAATGGTTATCATAGATGGTCCATCTCTATATCCAGCCCAACCAATTCTAGGAGCAACACCTTCCAAAGTCATTCTCTGCTTTCAACTAGTCCACCCTCGATTCAGACAAGAACATCACGTTTTAGCACGCATGGAGACAATTCGCCCTGCATTCACAATTATGTCATCACGTACGTGCGAGCAGAGATTGCACCAACGGGACAATTTCACCTCCACAGCAGGCTTCTCTATGGAACAAACAATGTTCCAATTCTATCCCCAACTTTGACTAAAGCCAGTTACACCGCAACAGCCATTTCCCTAACTCTGGTATTCAGCTACCGCAGGCGGTGCACAAATTCATAGCACAACAGCCTATCGGAAATGATGCCCTTTCTCACCTACCATTTTAACTTTAAATTCATCCTAGTGAGTATCGCCAGTTTCTTCAGACTGCCCAGCACAAGCAGTGAAGCCAAAACCAACCAACCAGCCAACCCAAGTTTGAAAAAGCAAAACAAAACAAAAATGAACCCGAGTGCTGAGCCAGTTTCGGCAAAAGCTTAAAGTTTGAGTTGACACGGTTTATGCTTCATGCCTTTGAGACTAACGGTGTTAGGCACTCAATATCAAACCATCTGTTCTAATAATACGCAGATAATTGGGAGATTGCAGCCGATTACGCTAATTATTCTGAAAGCCTGCAACTATCGGAAAATGGCTCAACTTTTGTCTTTAACGCGTAAAGATCGGCCATGGTCTTCGTGAAGCGGATCACACAGAACCGGAGTTCTGTGCAGAAAGAAGTTCAGAACCATTCGATCCTCAAGCCGATCTCCTCAAAGACCTTCACCTTTCACTCCAAGATCCAACAAAATCAAACTCCAGGCCCACAAAACCCAGAACTTGCTCGACAAAAATCAAAGTTACCTTACGACCGGAGTCGATGAGGAGAGGGGAGCTGCAGAGACGGAGGAAGACGTCCTTCTTCCTGGTCAGCGAGCGCCCAAGAGGCGGCTGCGGCTGCTGCTGCGGCGGCGGCGGCGGCGAGGAAGAGGAAGTGGAGACGATGAGGTCGAGATCGGGGGGGAGGAACTTGTGCCAGACGGCGTCGGAGTCGGAGGCGGAGCGGAAGGCGCGGGAGACGGCGGAGAAGCGGGCGGCGTCACGAGGGGTGGTGAGGCCCGTGAGGGAGATGATGTGGGCGATGCACTCCTCGGGCAACGCGTCCATCTCCACCATCCTCCTCTTTTGGTTAGGGGGGGAATCGATGGCGCTCGAACCTCGGTCCGACGTTCTTTGTTTTCGATTCCGCGTCCGAGGTTGCCGATGCTGACCGCCGCAGCCACGGCCACGAAGCACGGAAGCAGACTGCTGCTGCTTACTGTTTCCCAGTTTCTGTCGTCTCTTTTGCTGGTCTTCCTCGGGCCGCGGGCTCGGGCCGCCAACTCCCCAGTGCAGCCCGAGCCCGACCTAAACGGATTTTTATTTTTACCCTCTTTATTTCGTAAAAAATGAATGATTTTAAAAATATTTTTTTAAAATTGATAGCTTATATCGCTTAAATAAATAATTAGTTGAGAAAAAAATATTTTCATTATCGACAGAAATTTATGTCTAAATGTTTTCATGCATGATGAATTTTTTTTTTATTTTTATAAGCAATACGAGTGATTATTTTTTGTAATATTTTTTCCGAATCATTCATTTTTCACAAAATAAATTGACTGAACAAGATAAACAAAGAAGATGAGAAAAATAAAGTAGAGACACCAGAAAAAATAACTTTTTTTTAGATAAAAATAGTTATCAAAATAAAGGAATTCACTTAAGTAAAACTCCTCAATTGTTTCTTTTTCATTTCTCGTGTCTTTATGGAAGATTGTGCTGAACTAGTCAATGGCGATTAATACTAAAACTCGGCGCTAAGGGCGGGACAGAAGTTTTTCGTTAATATATCATATTTAAATTTATGAATTTTTTTTACCTAAGGAGGCGGAGATCATGACTGATTCTCTAAGTCAATGAGTGCTTATAATAGATTTGAAAAATCACTTTTTTTTAGATAAAAATAGTTATCAAAATAAAGGAATTCACTTAAGTAAAACTCCTTAATTGTTTCTTTTTCATTTCTCGTGTCTTTATGAAAGATTGTGCTGAACTAGTCAATGGCGATTAATACTAAAACTCGGCGCTGAGGGCGGGACAAAAGTTTTTCGTTAATATATCATATTTAAATTTATGAATTTTTTTTACCTAAGAAGGCAGAGATCATGACTGATTCTCTAAGTCAATGAGTGCTTATAATAGATTTGCTCACGACAAGGCTCGAATTTATGGCTATATGCAAAATAGGGTGACGCTTCTTCTATTTCTTTTCCCTCAGCGAACGATTGCTCCTTTTTTTCTCTCTCTCTCTCTCTTTATTTTTTTTTTGTGTAGCGGGTTTATTAACTTTCGAGCTAGCTTCTGTGCATTTCGACCGGTCTACCACTCCTAACGATCCTAAGAGTGCGCTCCCCCATGTCAGCTTGATACATCCCAGATTTTAATTCTTAAATTTTACGAAAAAGAGTCGACGTGATTAGTGATAACTTTTCATAATGGTTTGCGCTTTTTATTAAATACCATGTCAATGGCGGACCATGTGCACAAAATTGGAGTTAATCGAGCAGGTCACATGCAAGCACGAAAGGGAGGCAATCCAACATCAGAAAGTTGATATTCAACACGTCAAAAGAGTCCTCCACGAATTCAAAGTGGATCCCCTACCATTTTCTTTACATTGCCTTTACGATTGTCCAACTTCTCCATGACTAAAAGCTCGGTTTTTTTTTTTTTTTTGCCATTTGGAGATGTATTTATGCATGAATGAATTGTGCATGCGGGGCCCCACTCTAAGCAATTCCTTCTCGAGGCTTTTTGGCTAAGCATTTGGAATCCAATTTAGGGAGATCTCTCTCTCTCTTATGTGGGAATCAACTTCCTTCCTTGATTATTTAAAATAAACGCTAAAAAATGTGTCAACAATGTATTAATAGCTTATCGGCTTAATACTCCCTCCTGCATGTAAATCGATCCTTTAGTTATAGCATACATGACTCAGAACACTCTTTCGTGAGTAATCTGATATCTTTGGACGTGCAAGATAGGATATGGATGTGATTGCGCCAGCGAGATAACTGGGACAAGAGAACATGAAGAATAACGTGAAATGAAAATTTAGAGGGGTAGTAGGAATTGAATCTTTACATTGCTTGAATACCATGTAAGACAAATTATTTTCCTTAAAAGTTTAAACCGTTAGTAAAAAGACGAACGTTGAGTTTATAGCATATGACCTCAATACTCCCTCTCTCGTGACGAATTGTGGAAATTGGTCCTTTTAATCTTAGGTTTATGTATGGAGATGCAGATCGCAAATCTTCAAACCTAATGATACGATTTGATATGGTTGCGTAAAAGCGATGACGCGTTTTGGATAATTCCATAGCATTTTAGTAATAAATTTAACATTCCTATCGTTAGTAAATTTTTTTTGTTAATGAGTGCATCGATGGTACTTGCGAAAAAAAAAAACCCATTTAACGAAAGATTGCAATTTGCAATACTCTGCGTCTCTCCACTTATGTGTAATCAATTCATCGAGAAAATAAAAATATTTCATTATCAATTATATTTAACGGATGCTTTGGACACTCGTTAATGGGACCCCGATTATTAAGGACATGTTTGGTAATCGGCAAAACAGTGCTTGATTCTATTCTTTCGTTCTCGAAAACAAAAAAAGAACAAAAATCTATTTTGTAAATTTTTTCTTCCCGGGCACAAATTTCTTTCAAGAATCAGTTTTGGAACAGAATAAAAAATCAAAAAAAAGTTTATTCTTGATTCTAGGAACAAGAATTAGAAGTGGAAAATGATTTTTTTTTTCTTCTTCTTTCTTGGCCGGTGGCTACCGAGGTTCCTCCTCGCCGGACCCTCGCCCAGGCCATGACGATGGCCCTTGCCCAAACCACGAGCCGCCCTCGCCGAATCTGGCGAGGGCGGCGGCGAGGGTGGCCCTCGCCGAGGCGGCGAGGGTCTAGCCCTCGCCCTCGCCGGCCCTGGCCTATGATTGGTTGCCGACGTCGGCGACCCGGCCATGGGCCAAGGAAGGAGAAGAAGAAAAAAAAAAAGAAAAAAAAGAAAGAAATATTAAAATATTCAAAATATTATTAAAATATTATTGATAAAAAAAATTGTGCGGTTACCAAACGCATTTATATTTTTTTATTTATTTTAAGAATAGAAATATTGGACAGCTCTCAAATTCTTAGAAATTAGTTTTGAGAATGGATTTCTGAACTGAAATTATTTTCGGGAACAGAATTATTATCGGACGGACCGAATACCACCCAAGATTTTCATTCGGTTTTCAAGCCCATCGAAGCCCGGAACCGCCTTTTCCCATTACTTCTCTGGCAAGAAATGATTTGCCGGGCCCCACGACACAATCTTTGGTCAACCCTCCATTTAAAAGTATATCCAAACATATTTTATCTGGCGTGTTTCTCCTCCGTCCTTTCCGCTTTCAGCCTGTCCATTTTCTGGCGTGGGCTGATTCTGATGAGAACCCCACCGAGCCTTAGCCCTTAAGTATTTCGCCATCCGTGTGTTTCTCTTTCCATTGACACCCCCTCCTTGCTGCCTCTCTACTATATATACAAGCGCATCGAATGACGCTCTGCATCATCATCGTCCCTTCGAAAAGGCGCCACCTTTGAGCCCGTTTCGGCCCCCACCCATAATCGGATTTCTTCCTGCAAACTCGCTCCGTTCGTCCGTAGACACGACGGATCACGCCGCGAATCGCCGTCGTTCTCGTCGAGAGGCGTCCGACTTTTGAGCCGTTCTAGCCACACACCCATTATCGGATTTCTTCTGTGTCTCTCCGTGTGTCTCTCTGTAAGCACAACGAATCACGCCGCGAAGCGCCGTCGTCTCGTCGAAAGGCGTCGACCTTGGGGCCGTTTTAGCCCGCACCCGTTTCTTGGAATTTTTTTTTGCCAATGGCGGCGGTGGCCGAGGCGAAGGGTCGAGACGGTCCCGACTTCTCCGCGCTGCCCGAAGGTTGCGTCGCGTGCATCCTCTCCTTCACGAGCCCCCACGACGCGTGCAGGCTCGCGCCCGTCTCGTCGGTCTTCAGGTCGGCGTGCGATTCCGACGCGGTCTGGGCCTCGTTCTTACCGCCGGAGTACCGCTCGATGGTCCGCCGGAGCGCTCCGTCGCTGAAGGAGCTCTTCTTCAGCCTCTGCGACGACCCGGTTATCGTGGGCGACGGCAAAATGGTGAGTCTCTTCCCCCCCGCCCGTCTTCCCACCTCAAACCGCCTCTTCCTATTCTTAATGTTAGATTTAATATAATATTGAAATGTCATCCATGTGACGTGCTGTCGCCTGCACGTTTTGAAACACTGCCACGGTCGGGTAGTTGATCTTTCATTGTCGGGTAGTTGAATTGAAAGGCGGTGTCGCCAGCGCATGCTTCTTGGCATCTTCCCGCCTGAACCGAGGGAGTGCATTGTTGTTTCTTCAAGGAGAAGCAATTGTCATATAATAATCATGTTGCGGCTTCCGCTGGACCATTTCTCTTTTCGCACACGGCCACGGTCTGAATGTGGAAGGTTGATTGAATTGGATAAACCAACTCATGGTTTACGTCCACAAGATAAAGGATGATGAATGATGGGTGAAGAAGGAAGACAAGGATCTTTCTTTCATCCGAAAATGTCAAGATTCAAATGGTTGGAGCGAAGAATGGATGGATGTATATTGAATCACTCCAATGTACAGTGCTAAGAGCATGAAGATTATCGCCACTGTTCATATGGTGCCTTGATGAACACTGATGCATTGCATCTTTAGGGGTGGTGATCTGTATATATGGCTTTAAGACTGTCGGCTACCTTTTGGTTGATTCGGATTTGGGTGTGAGTCTACTTTTTATTTTCGTTTAATTGCTCAAAAACCTCCCGAACTTTGTTAGTATTGCTCATTAGCCCCTGAACTTTAAATTTGCACCGTTGAATAGTGGCCATGTAATTTTGAAAAGTTACAGATTACACCCGAAATTTGAAGTGTTACCTGAAATTGGATTGACTCAATTCTTTTGAACACAATAGCCTTTGCTGAATTTTCTCGACTTCATCAATCATGTATCTTCTCTATTTTGTTGACTTTATTAACCATTTGATAGAGATCTTCTGGTAAAATAATAATAATAATAACAGGGAAGTGTATTGAATGCCTATATAGATAGAATAACTGGCGGCTGCAACGAAAAATAAGAGTTTCTGGGGAAATTTGTAACTTTTACAAATTTTTCGGGGGTCATTATGCAATTGGTTCTGAAGTTGAGGTGGTTTTGAGCAATTATCCCTTTTATCTTCTTTTGGTCAAAATCTCATGGCTATTGCTTTTATGTAACGTGAAACGTGTTTTCCTACTTCAAATTTTGGCGGGAAAGTTGACAAAACAACTTTTGCTTCAAAAGGCCAAGACAACACTCACACTATTTTATTGGAAAGGGGACCAGCACAGATGGTGGAATAAGTGCTAAGCTTTATCGCTTTGCGCATACTATATTAGCTGAAACAGTGAATCTTGTTTTTCTCAAAACGACGTCGGTCCGGCTTCTTGTTGCTTACGTGAATTCAACATGCTTTGCAGAGCTTTTCGCTGGACAGGCACAGTGGCAAGAAATGTATCATGCTATCTGCAAGGGCCCTGTCTATAACATGGGGTGATACTCCGAGGTACTGGTCTTGGAATCGCATACCCGACTCCAGGTAATACATTATTGCCTCCACTCTCTCACCTTCATGAAGAAAATGGGCGTAGCATTAATTTGTTCGTCCCAAAATAGACTCTCTTTTGTTTCTCCCTCAAGGTGATGATCGTATCGAATGTCCTTGCGAATTCACAGGTTTGCAGAAGTTGCTGAACTCATCAGTGTATGTTGGCTCGAAATCAGAGGCACGATTAGTTCTCGAATGCTGTCGCCTGGAACCCGTTATGCAGCATACTTGGTATTCAAATCCACCCCGGCATCTTATGGATTTGAATTCCAGTCTGTTGAGGTTGGAGCTGGATTTGCTGGTGATGAAGCGGGCAAGCGTGAGCGCTCTGTTTATTTATCCAGAGAGAACAACACGCGTGGACCGCAGCCCAGGCGGAGATTTGGGCGCATTGGTTTCCATGCTTTACTTACTCCTTTTGAATTGGTCAACGAGGATTGTGATGGGGGGTCGCCGACACCTTCACCTGCCGACGCGAATGGGGACTATCCTAAAGAGAGACGAGATGGGTGGTCAGAGATAGAGTTGGGTGAGTTCTTCACGAAGGATGGAGAAGACGGGGAGGTGGAGATGAGTGTCCTGGAGACGAAGGGCGGCAACTGGAAGGCTGGGCTGGTTGTGGAAGGGATCGAAATTAGGCCCAAGGATGACAAATAAAGGTGCCTTTATGCGGGGCATGTGTAAATTTGTATGTTCTTTCTGTTTTGCTGAGCAAAACAGAGAAGGATGACAAATAAAAGTGCCTTTGCTGTTTTGCTATTGACTAATAGCTTTTTCTCTCTGTTTTGCTGCTGTTCTTGGAATGTTCTTATATCAATTTTTAGTAGCTTCCTACCAAATCAGAAAGCGTGCTTGTGATTTATATCGACTTTAATGTAAGCGGGGAAAGCATGTGTCATGGAGCGAATGGTTTTTGATCTGGTTAGTGAACGCCCAATGCAATCTGCGGAAATGTTGGAACTTAAGATGTAGACTTCCACAAACTCACACGGACACACTCAAATGCTGGGATTGGTTCCTTTTACAACATCTGCAAAATGGTTCCTCATCTTCCCACTCCAATCACCTCTGTTGGTACCGACTGGAATCTATGACTCCATTGAAAATATATGAATGCAATTCGTTTGTGTGGTGAGCTGGTGCCTGCTGCGCGTCTCTTCCGGGATAAAAGAAAGACTTAGGCACGTTTTGTTCAGCATTCCCAAGAGGCTTTCAATGGGCTTCGGCCGAAAGCCAGCATTGAGAATGCTCAAAGCCCAAAGTTAGTTCGGACCAGCTTTGAGCTTTGAGCATTTGCCAAATGCTAAAATAAATTTTTTTACTCACAAACTACCCTCATTTATTCTTTAATATTCCGATTTTGTCTCTCATTATTACTGTTAATCTTTTTCGCGCGAGGGCGGCTGGTGAGGGCCGACGACACCGGATTGGGCCGGTGAGGTTGCACGACTTAGGCGACGGCCACCTGAGGTTGCGCGATCGCCCAGGTGCCGCCGGGTTGGGTCGCGTGACCTAGGCGACATCGCCTGGGTGGCGCAACCCCAGGTGACGGCCGCCTGGGGCGAGCGACCCCGGCGAGAGCCACCTGAGTCGCCCGACCTCGGGAGACGGCCGCCGGGGGTCGCCTGACCTCGGGAGACGGCCGCCGGGGGTCGCTTGACCTTGGGCAACGGCCGCTGGTGCCAGATCTAGCTCGCTGGCGGCCGTAGCCCTTCACCGGCTCCAGCGAAGGGTAGGGTAAGCTTTTTTTTTTTAATAAAAAAGAAAATTCCCAAAGCTCTTTGCAAAAAAAATTTGCCAAATACTGCTTGGGCCAAAGTAGCTTCACAAATGATTTTTTACCAAACGCCATTTACATTTTCCCAAGAGGCATTAATATAAAAGTATTTGCATTCCCTCAAAGCTTTGCAAAGTTGAATCAAACGGCCCTTAGAAAAGCAGAGTCAAAGCCGAATGACTGGGGCTAAAATAATTTCTTGTTGACTAGCTGAATGAAAGCACGTTGTAGCACACTCACAAAAACTGTTGGTACCCTTACCTTGCAGGATTGGCGAACTGTCTTGGAGGAGATTTTCATCTGCCTGTCAAGTTCAACCATGAAAACCCTGCTTACTTCTCCTTGTTAAGTTCCTAGTTTTCTTCTAGTTTTCGTTTTATGTTGGAAACGGAAGGGCCTAGTGCCTGTCTTCTGAATTAAAAAGAAAAAACCTGGTTTTCTCCATGAGGGTGGAGCGTGTTCAAATCTGAGACAACCATACTTAATCCATTCATGGCCCGGCCAATAATGTAAACCTGCCAAAGGATTAATGGAGAAATGGTTCTCTTTGGATCTTAATGAGCATTCCGCGTGTACCAACACAACGGAAGGAAGTCGTACCTCAGCAAAGGATGCAAAAACACAGGAGCACATAATATATCAATAATCACATCGAAACCTGTTCCGGAGCAATGCCGGACAATTCTTCAGGTTCACTATTCCGTTGAAAACGGCAGTATTGCCACTGTCGATAGCCGACACCGCAAGTTTACCGATGGATGAGTGGCTTCTGGATTTGATGGAACTCTTGTAGTCTTCGAATCAACCGTGGCAACTTTGCACTTGGTGTTTTCATCGACATAGTGGTTGGTTCTTTGCATACCAGAGTGGCAACTATGCGCATGCCATACCTCAGTTATTCCAAAACCATGTATCTTCTCTATTTTGTTAACTTTATTAACATTTTATAGAGTTCTGTTGGTATTAAAAAAATAATAATAAGGAAGTGTATTTTCATGTAACAATTTAACTCCTATATAGATAGAATAACTAGCGACCGTAACAAAAAATCAAAGTTTAGTGGGTAATTTGTAACTTCACAAAATTTTTCAGGGGTCATTACGCAGTGGTTCCGAAGATGAGGTGGCTTTGAACAATTATCCATTTCGTTTTTCCAGAGAGCACGACACGCGCGGACGGTAGTCCAGACCGAGATTTGGGCGCATTGGTTTCCATATCTTACCAGTGCGTTTTGAATTGTTTGACGGCGATTGTGACGGCGCCGACGCGTACACCTGCCGAGGGGAGTGGGAACTATCCAAAAGAGAGACGAGATGGGTGGTCAGGGTTAGAGTTATTTGGGTGAGCTCTTGACGAAGGAAGGAGAAGATGGGGAGGTTGAAGTGACTGTCATGGAGACGAAAGGGGGGTAACTGGAAGACCAGGCTGATTGTGGAAAGGATCGAAATTAGGCCCAAAGAGGGGATATGAAAGTGCCTTTACGCAGGGCATCAGGAAGTTTGTGTGTGCCATCTAGGGCGAACATGATTTTAGGGTAGAACCGAGAATCAAAGATCTGAATCGGGGAAAACTAGTCCGGTTCTAGATTTTAAGGTAGGCATTCAGATTCCAAAAATTGGAAAACTAGTTCCGATGGGAAGGTTCTAGGAACCTGGAACCTGAATTTAGAATAAGTCTTTGTGTTTTTCTTGTTCAATGTCTTAGTATTCCATGGCGTCCGATAATGAGTGTGTAATCTGAAACTACTAGTTTGAGCTTTTATTTTCGGTGATATCAATGATTGAGACTTTTACCTTGTTAATGTTTTATATTATTCATGTGTTTAAATATAAGTTGTGGTGAGTGGACTACAGTAGTAAATGGTAGTCATTAAATATGATGATTCACTGTAATCATTCAATTATGAATATAGGTGGAACCTGACTAGACCTTGGAACCGATCCCGAAATCTGTGACAAGGTAAGTTCTAAAATAAGTAGGGTAGGTTCCATGTTCCAAAACATAAAAAACCTCTTCCGACGGATGGATTTTGGGTTTTAGGTGGAACCTATAAGGAACGTGGAACCGCTCACTTCTAGTGCTGTCCGTCCCTTGAATAATGGCTTTTTTTCTCTGTTTTTGCTGTTGTTCTTTCCATGTTCCTTTATCAATATTTAGTAGCTTTCCACCGATCAGAACTTGTGATCTATATTGACTTAATGTAAGTGGGGAAAGCAGCGAATGGTTCTTTGATTTGGTGAGCGAACGCTCGATGCCCACTGCAGAAATGATGAAACTTAGATGTATGGTTCCGCGAACTCACAGAGACGCTCGAACACTGTGATTAGTTGCTTTTAGAACATCTGCAGAACGATTCCTCATCTTCCCACTCCAACCACCTCTCTCTAAGCATTTCAAGTATACTAAAGAGGGGAAGGAAGTTGTACTTCAGCAAAGCAAAGCATAAAGACAGGAGCGCATGATAAATTAACAATCACGTGAAAACCTGCTCCACAGCAATGCTTGGAAAGTTCTTCAGGTTTGCTATTTCGTGGAAAACGGCACCAAATGTTACCCTCAACAGACAACACCGCAATTCATCCAGCGCTTTTAATGGTCTTAAAAGGTGTTAGTCTACTACGAGTCAACCACGACAACTTTCACCCATCGGGCATGCCGTGGTAAGGGAATTAGTGGAGCGAGGACATTTTAATTTTAAATATGAGATCCGATTTTCACGCTTTGAGAGAAAGAGGAGAGAGTTATAGGATAGATACAAAAGAAAAAAAACAAAAACTGCGGCAACTTTCCACGTGGTGTTTTCATCAACGTTGTGGTTCTAAAAGCACCAGAGTGCAAAAGTTGCTGGGATTCTAAAAGCACTAGTGCTTTTATCAACATAGTGGTTTTTGACCCAAAAAAAAACAAAGCGGTTGGCCTTTTGCGTACAAAAGTTGCAACTATGGATCTGTCCTTCCTGTCAATCTTAACACCAATCCTATTACTCTTATATCTGTTTAATCACATATCTTACTGTCAACATCCATATATTGACAATAAGCAGCTTGACTGCTCAACCACAATATCTAAAGCGAAAGGGTACCTCTGCATTGTCCCTCAAACTCAATGCCAGTCTTTCTTGACCTTTTGATCTACCTCCCCATACAACTCACCGCACACCATCGCTTCACTGCTCGACTCAGATGCCTTGGACAAAGCCACCATAAAACAACATCAAATCCACTGCCGAAGAAGTACCTTAAGACAACTTGGTCATAGTTCCAGTTCCTTGCTGTTGCACCGGAAGGATTTACTTGCACGTGGCCACTTGATCTTTTGGTTTTTGTCCAGAGATGCAAATTACAGATCTTAAAAGCTGAGGATATGGCTGTGTAAAAATGAGGGCGCGTTTTTTATATTGCCATGGCATTTCAGAAATCAATTTAACATTTCTATCGTCAGTAAAAGAAAATTGTTAATAGTGCCCCGTGTGGGCACTTGTAAAAAAAAAACCTTTTTAAGGAAAGATTGCAATTTTGCACTACTCCACCTCTCTCGAGGAACGTGTAATTAAGTATCGAAAAAAAATCACAATATCCCATTATCAAGTTAATCAGTGTCTCTCTTGACACTCGTTAACAGGACCCAAAAATGGCGTGAAGTTACCCTTTTCATTTTACTTCTCTGATAAGAAATGATCATTCTCGGCAACATATAATCTTGGGTTAACCTCTATTTACAAGTATATACATTTAAAGTGGGCCTAATTCCCTAAAAACCCCAAACTTTAGGTGTTGTCCCAAATCTACCTAAACTTTTTTTTTGTCTCATAAAAACCACAAACTTTTATTTTAAACCCAAATCTGCCCTAGGTTGATTTTCTGTCCAAATGTTGACAATTTTTTCCAACTTGTCATCCACGTGTCTATCTTCTTTTCCCACGTCAGCTTGGGTTGACTGTTTCTTTCTTTCTTTTTTTTTTTCATTCTCTTCTCCCTTTCACTTTCCGCCATTCACCTTCTTCATCCTTCGCCTTCAACCTCTTCACCTAAATCTCCAAATCATCCGCAAACGCCACCCCATGGTTAGGCGACACCAGCCCAAGTTCTTGTCCTCTCGCTTCTTCTCGCATCTCCATTGCCCTCTCGTCAACAATCGACGACGACACTGTCCGAGCCCGACCTCACTTCCTTGTTCTTGGCGTCGGCGGATTGAGCTCGAGGCCCAAGCACGTTGAAGTAGCGGTCCACGTCGCCGGTGCCGTTATCGTAGGTCCTCAACAAGCCCTCATAGGTGAGCCCCTTCTCGCCGTCAATGCACTCGCCCTAGGTCTTGAACTTGACCCTCGGGTTCACGGCCACCGCGAGCACCACCATTTGCTCCCCGTTGAGCCCTCCATCACGGTTCCCATCAAATGCTGGAAAATTCGCTTCACCTTCTCCGATCCGCTACCTCCGGTCGCCATTTTAGTGCTAGAGTTTCATTAGAAACAGAGAAAAGGGAAGATTTTGGCCCAAATGATGACCAACGCAGAGATAGACGGAGAGGTCGCAATGTGAAGATTGAAAGCGACGATGGTGTCGCGGCCTTGGGCGACCGCCGCGACTCCAAATGCAGGCGTGGCGGCGTTGGATCCGACATCCCGATCCCAAATTCAACTATCCACCGACAAATAGAGGGGGTGGAGGCTCGGCAAATGGAAGCGTCTGGGCTTACAATAACGACGAGGTGACGAGGAAGTCGTGGCAACGTGCACGCAAGCTGTTGCGGCGATGACCGGCGTGTGGCAGCACCTGGGCTTTCTCTGTTTTCTTGATGGTGCTCTCGTTGTCCATGGCGGAAAGTGAAAGGAGAAGAGAATGAAAAAACAAAAAAGAAAGAAAGAAACAGTCAACCCAAGCTGACGTGGGAAAAGAAGATAGACACGTGGATGACAAGTTGGAAAAAATTGTCAACATTTGGACAGAAAATCAACCTAGGGCAGATTTGGGTTTAAAATAAAAGTTTGTGCTTTTAAGACAAAAAAAAGTTGAATTTGGACAACACCTAAAGTTGCGCTTTTTGTAATTAAAGCCAAAGTGTATGCATTTTATAAAATTTTATTCCTATTTCCTCTTGTCTTTTCCATTATATTCAACAAGCCTTAACCTCAAAGATTTCACCATCCATTCACGCCTACCCACGCCCCCCTTCTCTCTCTCTCTGCCTCTATATACACACAACGAATCACGCTGAGAATCGCCGTCGTCTCGCCGAAAGTTGTCGCCTTTAAGCCGTTTCCGGCCACACCCATTTCTTGGAGTTCCCTTCCCATGGCGGTGGCCGGAGCGACGGAGGGTCGAGGCTGTCCCGACTTCTCGGCGCTGCCCGAAGGGTGCATCGCGAGCGCCGTCTCCTTCACGAGCCCACCCGACGCGTGCAGGCTCGCGTCCGTCTCGTCGGTCTTCAGGTCGGCGTGCGACTCCGACGCGGTCTGGGCCTCGTTCCTGCCGCCGGAGTACCGCTCGATGGTCCACCGGAGCGCTCCGTCGCTGAAGGAGCTCTACTTCAGCCTCTGCGACGACCCGGTCCTCGCCGGCGACGGCAAGATGGTAAGTCTCTCTCTCTCCCACCGCCTCTATCTTGTTCTTTTTCTGGTGATGTGCGATGACTGTTCCTTATGTGATTCGTGTGATGTGCTGTCGCCTGCACGTTTCGAAACACTGCCGAGTTTGGCCGGCAAAAAATTGGTTCTTTCTTTGTCCGAATAGCTGAACTGAAGGACGGACGGTGTCATCGGCCACATGTTTCTTGGCCTCTTCTTCCTGCTTGAACCCCAGCTCATGGCTTACATAATGATTGTGCAGCGGCTTTACATTGGACATTCCTTGTTTTGCACACACCCACGATCCGAATGGGAAAGGTCGATTGAATCTTATGAACCCAACTCACGGTTTACATCCACAAAATAAAAGGGTGATAAATGATGGGTGAGGAAGAAAGAATGGCTCTTTCATCTGAAATTGACAAGATTCATATGGTGGGTGGAGCAAAGAGTGGATAGATAAATATTGAATCACTCAATATATAGTGTCAGGAGCATAAGCAAATATCACCCCAAATGATATGGTAGCTTGATGACCATCAATTCATCGTATGTTTAGGGGTGATCTGTATATATTGTTTTTGGACTGTCTGCTACCTTTTAATCTGTGTTCGCAGTTCGGAGTGTGGCTACTTTTGTTTTCGGTTAATTGCTCGAATCCCTCCCGAACTCTGTCGACATTGTACATTGGCCCCCCCTGAACTTTTAAAAGTTAGACATTACCCCCATTTACTTTGGCACCATCGAATAGTAGCCACAAAACTTGGATAATGTAGATATTTCCTCTTGATTTTGGTTTTTGTCGCGGTGATTAGTTTTTCTGTCTGCATAGTCGGTAAGTGCATAGGGGGCAGCAGATGGTGGAATAAGTGCTAAGCTTTATTGCTTTGCGCATACTATATTTGCTGGAACAGTATTTTTTTTTTCTCAAAACGACCTCGGTCCGGCTTCTTGTTGCTTATGTGAATCTAACATGCTCTGCAGAGCTTTTCGCTGGACAGGCACAGTGGGAAGAAATGTATCATGCTTTCAGCGAGGGCCCTGTCTATAATATGGGGTGATACTCCGATTTACTGGTCATGGACTTGCATGCCCAACTCCAGGTAATACGTTATTTCCTCCACTCTCTCACCTTCATGAAGAAAATGGGCGTGGCATTAATTTGTGTGTCCCAAAATGAACTCTGTTGTTTCTCCCTCAAGGTGATGATCATGTCCTTGTGAATGAACAGGTTTGCAGAAGTGGCTGAGCTCATCGATGTATGCTGGCTCGAAATCAAAGGCATGATTAGTTCTTGCATGCTGTCGCCTGGAACCCGTTATGCAGCGTACTTGGTATTCAAATTTGCCAGATGGTCTTATGGATTTGAATTCCAGTCTGTTGAGGTTGGAGCTGGATTTGCTGGTGATGAAGCGGGCAAGCGTGAGCGTTTTGTTTACTTATCTGGAGAGAGCAACACGGGCAGACGGCGGACCAGGCGGAGACTTAGATCGATGCCGCCAACGTATGCACCTGCTGAGGGTAATGGGAACTATCCTAAAGAGAGACCAGATGGGTGGTCAGAGATAGAGTTGGGCGAGTTCTTGACAAAGGAAGGAGAAGATGGGAAGGTCCAAATGAGCGTCATGGAGACGAAGGGGGGTAAGTGGAAGAAAGGGCTGATTGTGGAAGGGATCGAAATTAGGCCCAAAGCGGGGATATAAGAGTGCCCTTTATGCAGGGCATCAGTAAGTTTGTATGTACCGTCCGTCCCTTGTTTAATAGCTTTTTCTCTTCAATGTCCTTTTATCGCTTTTTCAGTAGCTTTCTACCCAAATCAGAAAGCGCTCTTGTGATCTATATCCGACTTTAATGTAAGTGGGGAAAGCATAATATTGTCATGGAGCGATGCCTTATGTGGAAATGTTGGAACTTAAGATGTAGACTTCCACAAACTTGCTCAGACACACTCAAATACTGCGATTGGTTCCTTTCACAACATCTGCAAAATGGTTCCTCGTCTTCCCACTCCAACCACCTCTGCTGGTGCCGACGGGAATTTATGACTCCTTTGAAATTATATGAATGCAATTCGTTTGTGTGGTGTGCTGGTGCCTGCGCGTCTCTTCCGGGATAAAAGAAAGACTTGGAAAAGCAGAGTCAAAGCCAATGACGGGGGTAAAATAATTTCTTGTTAACTAGCTGAATGAAAGCACGTTGTGGCAGACTCATAAGAATTGTAGGAGCCCTACCTTGCAGGATTGGTGAACTGTCTTGGAAGCGATTTTCGTCTGCCAGTCAAGTTCAACCATGAAAACTCTGGTTACTTCTCCTTGTTAAGTTCCTAGTTTTCTTATAGTTTATGCTTTTTGTTGGAAACGAAAGGGCCCAGTGCCGTTGTCTGAACCAAAAAACAGAAAAACCTGGTTTTCTTCATGAGGGTGGAGTGTGCTCAAATCTGAGACAACCATACTTAATCCATTCATGGCTCCGCCAATAATGTAAACCTTCCAAAGGATTAAGGGAGAAATTATTCTCTTTGGATCTTAATGAGCATTTCACGTATACTAACAAAATGGAAGCAAGTCGTACTTCGGCACATAATAAATCAATAATCACATGGAAACCTGTTCCGGAGCAATGCTGGACAGTTCTTCAGGTCTGCTATTACGTTGAAAACGGCACCACTGCCACTGTCAACAGTCAATGCCGCAAGTTTATCGCCACCTTTACCGCTGGATGAGTGGCTTCTAGATTTGATGGAACTCTTGTAGTTTTCAAATCAACCACGGCAACTTTGCACTTGTTGTTTTCGTCAACATAGTGGTTGGCTCTTTGCATCCAAGAGTGGCAACTATACGCATGCCATACCTCAGTTATTCCAAAATCATGGATCTGGGCTCCCTCTTAATCTCGACTCCGATCCTATTCTCTTACCTCTGTTTATTCACATATTCTACAGTCAACATCCATATGTTGACGATAAGCAGCTTAACTGCTCATCCACATTATCTGAACCGAAAGGTTACCACTACAATGTCCCTCAAACTCGATGCCGGTCCTTTTGTGACCTTTTAATCTAGCTCACTGTACAACTCACCGCTTGACATTGCTCCGCTGCTTGGCTCAGACCCCTTGGACATAGCCACAATCCACAACATCAAATCCACTGCCGAGAAGATAAGTTATGGCAACTTGGTCGTAGTTCCAGTTTCTCGCTATTGCACTGGAAGTATTTACTTTGCACCAGGCCTCTTACACTGTGGCCGAGGGGGACGCCTATTTCACCATAGCCAATGATACATTCCAAGGCCTGTCCTCTTGCCAGGCTCTACTTGATCAAAACTTTTATACAGGTGAGGATCTTGTTGTAGCTGCAAAGCTGATGGTTCCACTAAGATGCGCATGCCCAAGTACCCACGAGACAGCTAATGGGGTTAAATCCTTGCTTACATATTTGGTGACGTGGGGAGATTCTGTGGATTCAATTATCGAAAGCTTTGGTGTCACTGTGCAAAGTGTTATGGAGGCAAATATGATGACGGACCCCTCTCTAATATACCCTTTAACACGCATTCTCAGTCCCCTTACTTGTGCAAAAGATTCCAAGAGTAACTTCTGCTATTGTCCCAATAGATATGCTGAAGGTGGGACTGGAAATGACCTCAATTGCATGCCTGACCGGAAGCAGTTTCCTTTCAAGCTGATTCTCGTGATAGGTAGTCATCAAATCTCTCCGCTAAATCTGTACAGCAACACTTCATGCCTGATTGGAAGAGGTTGCTTAATTCGTGTCCTGCTATTGGCTCTGATGATGGCAATCAGAAAGTCTGTGACTATTGCAACGTGAGAGAGTAACATTCGATAATGCAAAATAATGCATCCAATACTAAAGAAAACACTCGAGTGAGAAATTATTTCATTTTCTTACACACGCCATGTTGCACACCACACTTAGTACTGTTCCTTATGTGATTCGCGTGATGTGCTGTCGCCTGCATGTTTCGAAACACTGACGAGCTTGGCCGGCAAAAAATTGGTTCTTTCTTTGTCCAAATAGCTGAACTGAAGGAAGGACGGTGTCATCAGCCACATGTTTCTTGGCCTCTTCTTCCTACCTGAACCCCAACTCTTGGCTTACATATAATGATTGTGCAGCGGCTTTACATTGGACATTCCTTCTTTTGCACACACCCACGATCCGAATGTGAAAGGTCGATTGAATCTTATGAACCCAACTCATGGTGATAAATGAAGGGCGAAGAAGAAAGAAGGCTCTTTCATCTGAAATTGACAAGATTCATATGGTGGGTGGAGCAAAGAGTGGATAGATATATATCGAATCACTCAATATATAGTGTCAGGAGCATAAGCAAATATCACCCCAATTGATATGGTAGCTTGATGAACATCGATTCATCGTATATTTAGAGGTGATCTGCATATTGTTTTTAGACTGTCTGCTACCTTTTAATCTGTTTTCGCAGTTCGAAGCGAGGCTACTTTTTTTTTTGGTTAATTGCTCGAATCCCTCCCGAACTCTGTCAACATTGTACATTGGCCCCTGAACTTTTAAAAGTTAGACATTACCCCCATTAACTTTGGCACCATCAAATAGTGGGAAAATTACCAAAAAAATCTTAAACCTTTTGCAATTGTGCCAATTCAGTCCTAAACCTTTTTTTTTTGCCATTTCAGTCCTAAACCTTTTGTAATTGTGCCAATTCAGTCCATCCGGCCACTTTTGGCTGGCCGGCGCTGACGTGGACGCCAGCCGGCGCTCGCCGGCACCGGCCGGTTGACGTGGCATTATTTTAATAAATTTTTTTTTTTGGTTCCTTTTTCCCCCTGGTCGGCAAGGTGACCTCGCCGGCCATGGGCGAGGTCGAGCTCACCGGCCATGAGCGAGGTCTCGCCAGATCTGGGCGAGGCCTCGCCGAGATCTGGCGAGGCCTCGCCCAGATCTGGCGAGACCTCGCCATGGCCGGGCGAGGTCGAGCTTGCCCTGGCGACGGCGAGGCCTCGCCCCGGATCCGGCGAGGCCTCGCCGTCGTTGGCGAGCCTCGACCTCGCCCGGCCATGGGGCGAGGCGCTAGGCGAGCTCGCCGGTTACGGGCGAGCTTGACCTCGCCCATGGCCGGCAAGGTCGGCCTCGCCATGGCCGGCGAGGTGACCTCACCGGCGAGCCTCCGGCCAGGAGAAAGAAGGAAAAAAAATATTAAAATAATGCAACGTCAGTGCCGGCCGGCCAAAAATGGTATGATGGACTGAATTGGCACAATTGCAAAAGGTTTAAGACTGAAATGGCAAAAAAAAAAGGTTTAGGACTGAATTGGCACAATTGCAAAAGGTTTAGGACTTTTTTGGTAATTTTCCCTCAAAGGTAATTTTCGGAATCAGAGACACGATTAGTTCTTGCATGCTGTCACCTGGAACCCGTTATGCAGCGTACTCGGTATTCAAACTTACCCCAACGTCTTTTGGATTTGAATTCCAGTCTGTTGAGGTTGGAGCTGGATTTGCTGGTGATAAAGCGGGTAAGCGTGAGCGCTTAGTTTACTTATCCAGAGGGAGCAACACAAGCGGACGGCGGACCAAGCGGAGATTTAGGCGCATCGGCAGGTTGCCGACGCATGCGCCTGCCGAGGGGAATGAGAACTATCCTAAGGAGAGACGAGATGGGTGGTTAGAGATAGAGTTGGGTGAGTTCTTGACAAAGGAAGGAGAAGATGGGAAGGTCCAAATGAGTGTTATGTGTTGAGGTTGATGTCTTGTATTCTGTTATCCAAGAGATTATGAGGCGGTTCCGAAAGGCCCCCCGACGACCGGACAAAGACGGGGTCCCGCTCCCGGTGAGCGGGCGGGGGTCCGGGGCCGCCCATGCCGGGCGGGGCAATACCTGCCGCTGCAGGCATTTTATGTTCAGTTATAGAAGGATCTCTATGGGAAAGTTAAATGTTTTAGGCTATGTAGGCAATTTTGTAATTTGTGCCATGTAGGGTTTCGCTATATATTTAGGGCGAAACAGGTCTCTAGATAAAGAGGGAGGGAGTGAGAAAGAGCGGCTGTACACTTTTCTACGTTATTAGTGAAACAGATCTCATCTTCCCGTGGACGTAGGTAGGCGGAACATCTCCCCTGCTGAACCACGTAAATTCTTATGTTGTGCGAATTTTCATTACTTTTCTTGCATCGTTGATAGGATCGAATTTAGATATTCGACATCACGGAGACGAACGGGGGTAAGTGGAAGAATGGGCTGATTGTGGAAGGGATCGAAATTAGGCCCAAAGAGGGGATATAAGAGTGCCTTCATGCAGGGCATCAGTAAGTTTGTATGTACCGTCCATCCCTTGTTTAATAGCCTTTTCTCTTCAATGTTCTTTTATCGTTTTTTCAGTAGCTTTCTACCCAAATCAGAAAGCATTCTTGTGATCTCTATCCAACTTTAATGTAAGTGGGGAAAGCATAATATTGTCATGGAGCGATGCCTTCTGTGGAAATGTTGGAACTTAAGATGTAGACTTCCACAAACTCACACAGACACGCTCAAATACTCTGATTGGTCCTTTTTAAATCATCTGCAAAATGGTTCCTCATCTTCGCACTCCAACCACCTCTGTTGTTTTCGACTGGAATTTATGACTCCATTGAAAATATATGAATGCAATTCTTTTCTGTGGTGTGCTGGTGCCTGTACGTCTCTTCCGGAATAAAAGAAAGACTTGGAAAAGCAGAGTCAAAGCCAATGACTGGGCTTAAATAATCTCGTTAACTAGCTGTATGAAAGCACGTTGTAGCAGACTCAAAAACTGTAGGAGCCTTACCTTGCAGGATTGGTGAACTGTCTTGGAAGCGATTTTCATCTGCCGGTCAAGTTCAACCATGAAAACTCTGCTTGCTTCTCCTTGTTAAGTTCCTAGT